TAGTTTCTGTCATTTTGAGGTTAGATTAAAACTTTAATGGAATATAGGTAAGCTTTAGCCTCAAATTGCTGAGGGGAGGAAAAAAAAAAAAGATGTCTAAACCAGCAAGCCAAATAGTTAAATAAAATACTTCTCATTTCCACACAGGTAGAAATGTAGGAATTGCTGCGAGTCATTCAGTCTCTCTGTAACCTGTCAGGTTTCTAAGGATCTGTGCCTACAGCTTCACCCCAGTTAAATTCTCTTTGAGCAGACTCAGCATTGCACACATTTTGGCCTTTCACTTTGTTTAAAAGCCTGTTGAAATTAATAGAAAGCCTATCAGCCTCCTAAGATAGTGCCCCCTCTTGTAATTTAATCCACTGAATAGTTATAGTGTACCTCTGGATACAAGAAGCCCTCAGAGAAATGAGTGATAATTAGGTCTAATAACCCCCAAGGAATGATGGTTATGTTTTTAAATAGTTGTTTTTGCTAACTGGCCTTGAGCTTGCACTGAAAATTTACATTGCACAAAATTTACATTGCCCTGGAGCAGCAGCAACTTCACGAATCTTTGTCTAGAAGACTTTTTTTTTTAAGTTTAGTTTTTCTCTCTGAATGTCTTGATGGTTAGACTGATTGCAAGTTTTGTGTAAAACTTGTGTGAGAATGCAAAATCCTGCCTTGCTGTAGTTAATGTCTAAAACTCCACCTTCTTCCAGGGTTGGCAGTATTTTGTGCACCTGGCACGTTTACGTTGCTGTTTACAATTGGCAAGTCATACCAGAATACTTCACCCCAATCTAGAGCTTAGGTGGAATTTCAGCTATGATTGTCCAGGGAATCAGTTCTCTCATGCCTGCTGCTGACCTGTGCATATTCCTTGTGCTACCGGCAACAATTGGGTAACAATACATTTCCACAGCACTAGGTCTTTGTACATAAGGATGTTGCTCAAATGGTGTCAGTCTAAGAAAGACTCGGGCAAAAAGATCAAGCTAATTTAGGTAGAGCATGAAACATAGTATTATGCCCTTCAGCTGAAAACTCTGTAGCCAGGTTTGTGTTAGGTCCTTAATATATTTTTAGTGGAAACAGAGCATCAAAAGCGCTTCTGGACCTTGGTATTTAAGAAGGGTTAGGGACATCTCAAAAGTGTCTGTGTGTTGGGGGCGATTCCCCTTCATAGGAAAATGTTTGTTTCTTTCCATTCACTTTCAAAACAAGGTTTGTCATCTGCTAAAATTTCAGCGGGCCTTTACATGCAATTGATTTCTCTCATAGTAAAAACTTCTGCCATAACTTGAATTTATTTAGTATTACTTCTTAAGTACCCTTGGTATAGCCAAATATGTGTGATGACTCTAGTCATCACAACTCTGAGTCTAATGCAGAGGAGGCAAGACCGATGCACAACAGTTTATATATAGAAGCAGTAACAGACAGATAAGCCTGATATCAACAGAGCTAAAGCAAGTAATGCCTTTAACTCCTATTAGAAAAGGCTTGAAAAACACATTCTTGACTAACATCAACTGAAGGTCACCTTTCTTTATTTTATTCAAGTTTAAAAATGGCTGCTGTTTTAAGGCGTGGTATAATTAGAGCAGGGGTCTTTGAGTCAGCTTTTATAAATGAGAAATTTTGTTACCAGCTATCCTATTCCTGAGAAATCTGGACATAACAGACTATATAGGATTGTGCTTAACTTCACCAGATGGTTAGTTACATGGAATTCACTTAGATCCTGAGAAAGGGTTGGTTCATTGAAATGGTTTGCCTGATTAAATTTAAGCGTGGCATGAGTGCCCTATACAGCCCAACTATTATTTCTACCCAGTAGGTGCCAGTCTGTGTATGAAACTTGCAAAGAGAAGACAGGTCTTAATAGTCTGTGGTACTTACGTACATTTCTATATTTCCCTGAATAGGTGCCAGGGGTCTTGCGTACCTTTACCTGCAGTTACTAATTGAAGTATCATGCAGACACAAAGAATTTGTCTTATTCCTACATTAGCAGCAGTGCATCACATTTGACATAAAAATGAGCACAGTGGGCTTTACGTACCAATCACCTATTAAAAGTTTGATTCATTCTCATACCTTTGGTCTCAGGAGGACTAGAAATACCATGCAAAGGCTTTAAAATACTTTTTAATTCGCATTTCAAATGAAGTCTGTAACGCATCATACTTCAAGCACTAGTACAAAAGTCAAAGGAAAAAGCAGGGGAAAATGGCAATTACTCTTTCATAACAACTGCGAAGGATGTTATCAACGCTGCAGATATTAAAGCCATTTACTTGCCATCACCAAATAAAAGCTTTATGTAGTTAAAACATATGGCTGGTATTAACTGAAGAAGGGACAGGAAATTGAACATTAAAGGTGACTCTGCCCTTAATTCACTGTGTTGTTGGGGGAGGGAGGAGAGTGTGTTGAAGTGCTCCGAGCGAAAGGGCCACCGACAGCCTTATCTTTGAATTTCCTGCCTTTCATCAGCTACTATTACAACCTGCATGTTTAAGTCTTAAAAAAAACCTCTGAAGCATTTTAAAACCCGATCAGTGCCTCTCAAAAGGCTTGACTGTATTTAGATGCTAAATTCTTCAGTGTAAAGAATCAGTTCCCCCCACCCTTTATATTTTTTGCAGTAAAAAGAACAGTTTTGGCTTTTAATGAAATGGTTGTTTAAGTATTACATTTGATGAAGGCAGTGGAAATTTCCATTCTTCCCATTTTATTTCTGAAAGGCTATGTCCCAGAAAACTAATTTCTGGAAGTATTTTCACAATCCTGTTTCAATAGAAGTGCTGGTTTGTCTTTTTGGAGTACGTACCAGATTAGTTCTTCTGACAGTCTATATAGAGCTACTTTTATTTATACTAAGTGAAAAGTTGACTCTTTTTGTAGTTTGCTTGATGTAATGCTGATGACTCCTCCTTTTTCGTTCTGCCTTTTTTCATGCTAGTTTCGAACCAGTATTTAATGAGAATAACTACATCTTTTGACTTTACTGTCCTTACCCAATAATCACAAATTGTAATCACAAATACTTTACTGTCCTTACATTTAGTGTCAGCTGCAAATTGCTTTCATTAGTAGGAACTTCTTGGCAGTTTATGAAGTTGCCAGATTAAAAATTCAAAAGGGCAAACTATTATCTAACATTTTTGTAAACCATGGACTTCTCAAATGATTAATGACCACATTCATTCTGTAAATAAATACAAAGTTTTGCAAACAAATATATCAAGAGGGATCCAGTTCTGTAAGCTTTTGCTGGAATGATCTCCATTAATAATCAGTGTGGGTAACAGCCATTGTCTAATCACATGAATTTACAAAACCTAGCTGTCTTATTACTTTAGAAATACGTGTTTCTACCAGTCTCAGGTTACATTTTTACGATTCTACCATTCTGGAAGGTATGCAGTATCTTGTCAATCAGTTGAATATCTTTTTAGGCCTAATTAAAGATGACCATGTAAAGTAAGTACTCAAACAGTAAGTCTGTGTTTCTGTGGGACTGTGAAAAGCCTAAACTTCACTTTCTGGCGATGCATTTCCTTTTCTTTTGCTGTGCTTATTACTGAATGATGCTAAATCCTAATTTGGCATTTCAGGCCATGAGATGCTGATGACAGCCTGCTTTCAGGCACCTAAAATGAATACTTCTCTCCACCTTTTAAATCTATTAACCAAAATAGATGTGTTTTTGAGGCTCCCTTTAACCTCTAAGAGCACAGTATATTCTCCTGTTTTTTGGCTTTTTGTTTTGCCTATGTTCTCTTCTGTGGCCCAGTTACTCAACTGGAAGCTTACATTCCTGGGGAATACTAAACCAGTAACTAAATATGTGTTTAAAATTTAATATGCAAATTATCATTTTAGTATTCAATAGAATTTATTTGAAGCTGATCCTGTATTTTCAATGTCACGTGCCACCATTTTTCAGTTTCAGAGTTAACAGCCCATTAAGGTGAAACAGACAAATCACTTCTTGAGTTACCATCTCAAAGCCTTGATGCAGGTAGACACATCATCACCCTGTAGTTTGTACTTAGGTCACATTTTCAACTTGGAAAGTTTGTATTAGAAAGCCTGGTCTGATTTAGTGTTAGAGGCCCCAGTTTGCTTTAATTCATTTCCGTAAGCTCAAAATCTCTGTAATTTATAAAACTACCTAAACGAAAGCTGGGAATTCTGAGTGAATTCAGAAAATGGGTAATATTCCAGTAACATCTAATATTCAGGACTCTGCCAATGAAGGTGGTTCTTGACATACTCTGTGTGTGTCATTTCTGTGTTTTCTGATACTCTACTCTGGATACACTCAGCATTGTGGTTATTGATTTCTCTATATAATAGAGAGATAAAGCAGTTGGCACATAAGAAAGCTGTTTGCTTCAGAATTAACCATCCTTGGACGTATAAGATTACAATACAAACAACATGGCCGCCTGTAGTTAATATGTATGATTTATCATCTAAAAGTCTAAAATTAAAGTGAATTTACTGGACCTGAAAGGCACTAGTACAAAAAGCCCAGAGATTCGGGTCATCCTTTATCTGCAGAACTGATACAGTGCACATAACAATTGCTCCCAGTCCACCACTTTTAAAGAGGTAACACATTCACTTGGGTGCTAATGAAGTTCTTTCTTCTGTGGTCCTTCATTCCTGTATTGATATCATATGTGAGGATTCGCCATTTGAGCATTCTGGCCCAAGATTTCATATAACTAAACGTTATTGTCCAAATATTGTCTAACACCAACTCACTTTTCACTGAGCAATTACCAGTTACTAGTTGGAGACAACTGTGAATCATCAGTTGATGGACAGGGCTCACTCTTGTTGACTGCAAGTCTCTTTTCCATGAACTAGCCTTCCTCCTCTGGTAAGAGTATTTATGTTTGTTATGGGCTCTTGAGCGGTCTTCTGTTAAAGACTGAGTTTTATCTCTTCTGTTGTCTCTCTCTTCTTTCCCTCCTTTCCTCCTTCCCTCCTTACAGAAAAATCCGTAAGAAGTTCACCAGATCACAGCTGAAAAGAGCTTCCAGAACACCTTGTTCCCCGATCATTGCAAAGACAAACTCACTCATGAACAATAGGCAGGCACGAACAGAGCCAGGAACCATCATGCACTGAAGATATAACAGCATCAGCACCATAATCATGTCAGAATCATGTTTCATTGTGAATGCGGATACAACAGGACCTTTCACATCTTCAGGACAGAAACACCGTATGGACAGAGTGTGGCTGGGTTCTGTGTTCTGGGCAGGATCCAACAGCAGCCCTTGTTTTCCATCATCTCTGCAAGGGCTACTTCTGGTTCACTGTGCAGGCCTGTCCTGGATTGTCCTGCTATTCCCTCCATTCCCAGTCATCAGCATTGACTGGTCAGGGAGGGACTGTTTGCACTGACCACGCTGAAGGAGTATGGATGCAGAGTCCACCCACCACATTTGTCTATGCCTTCTAGTGGCTTGATAAAAAAAAATGCAGCTTTCAAAACTATTGCAGTGTCTTTAAAGTGGGATTTAGCCTTAAGGGGCTTGCATTTTCAAAAACAGCTGCAAACTTTGGGTGTTTGTATTTTTCAGTATTGGCTTGAGTCACGTTGGATTTGATTTTCTGAAGTGCTGAGCATCCAGACCCTGAAATGAGGACAAGGAGTTGTTTAGCAGTTCTGAAACTGAGACTAATTCAGTCTCAGTATGGAAGTGCCCATAATTAGTGGCCAATTTTCAAAATGCTGGCCATGTTAGCTTTGGTTAAAATCTTGAAAAGTATTATGTGTGGCAGTGAACATCCAGCTGGACTAGTTGCATGTGTAGGAACTGGTCCCATTGTCTATGTATTTGCAAGCATCCACCTATTTATTTGGGTATTTTTTGCATTTCTTGAAGCCTATTCTGAATAGGGAAAACCAGCAGAACGCCATTCCCAGGAAAACATGAAGAAATAGAGTATTTCCTATTAGAAATGTCTCTCCACAAAATAATTTCTACATTTTGATAAGTCTGGATAAACAGATGTCTTGCGGAATGCTTTGAAGTTCATAACTGTAAGGCTACAGGTGGATACTTACCATGGAGAGATGATGTGCCTTTTGAAACTACTTGTAGGAAACTGTCAGTCCCCCTGAAAGTGGGAATGGCAACAGAGGCAGGTCTTTTTTCTACTCAGGTACTTACAGGTGAACAATCTCTGCCCTACTTTGAAATCAAGAGGTAACCAGTGTGTAGCACTGCTGTGTACCCAACCTAGTTGGGATACGTTGATTATCTGAGGCAAGTTACATCGTTCAATAGGTTTGGTTTCCGTATGGCTTTTTAAGAGGTAGTCAGACACTGAACACGTCATAGTAAGCTGAGATGAGTTTCAAGACTTTTTTTCTCTCTTTACTAGGTAGCTCTAACAGTATAGTACAGATGTGAGGTTTTCATCCAGTTGTGGAGGTGCCCTCAGCTCTGTGGTTAGAAAGACAAAGATGTAAGTGGTGTCTCATACCTCTGGGTGATTCCCCCAAAATTATTTCCCCCCCAAGCGATGTATGGTTTCAGCCTGAAAGAGCATCTGTGATCTCAGCCTATAACTAGCCATACTCTCTGTGTAGGATTTTGAGCTCTTGAGACAGTGACCTAGATGCTTCTTCAAAAAAGAAAGCACCTTGACCTCCTGAAGGGACTTGCTGATGATTTTCTTGAGTGATGGATCCAGGTCTTATCCACTGTCCTTCACCAGCAAGAAAAGAGTGAATATGAAGGAGAGATTATGACACGAAGTGCTCCTAGTACCCTGAGCACCCGAGTGAATGTCGCTGATTTGGACGCAATTGGAGAAGACCTGGGATTCATCTGCTTACAGTCCTTTCCAGTAGCCGCTGAAGTGTGCAGCCCTAGGAGTCTCTTCTAGCCACATGATCTGCTTTTTCCTCACAACAGGAGGGCTTTTCATCAGATAACTGAGCGGAGACAACCTATTCTTATTAGTAAGAATTGCCTTTATTAACTACGACATATGGAAACACCTTCTGTATAATAGTTTCCTCACCCATTAAAATAAAGAAAACATGATTATTCAGCAATCTGTTTGACTGAAAATATGAAAAACATGAATAGAAAGAGCTTTGTCTCCCTCAGGCATCAGTGAAGTCACACACAGCAGACTCATTTTCAAAGTGTCATTAGCTGTAAGGTGGTGAATCTTTTACCCTGCCTTATTAAGCTTGTACTCAAATTATTTCTTTTAGTCAGTGTGCCACGGTGTCTAGCCAGTATTTTGTAAAATCACTGTGTGTTTCTGCTTTTGAGAAAAGTATTAGTATCCGTAATAGTCTGACGTGAAGTCATTTTTTCTTCTTTCCCTCGGAGGAGAGAGAGATTGGTAACACGACTCCCTGTTACGCAGCCAGCTGCCTGATACTGCTATCTTTTGCACCAAATAGCCAAGGTAAGAAGAAAGAATCCTTCCTTGCAGCTTCAAGCTGAGGTGCTTCATCTGGATACGCTGGAAATAATGCTGTGCCCCTGCCTGGCAGAGTCATTTCACAGGTTGCGATAGCCGACCCTTGGGGTGGGTAAGGCACGGAGGAGGCTGATTGCTGGAATAACTTCTGCTCTGCCTTTAAACTGTTTCGCATGCAGCTGCACAGAGACTTTCCCTCTCCCAAAACGCACACAGTGCAGAGAGAAACTGCATGCCATGTATCGCACCTTTGTCTTTACCTGCACTCTCTCCATCTTACCCTTCCTGCAAGATGTTCTCCAGAGATGGATACAGGATTTGCCTGTGAATTTAAACCGAAAGCGTTGATGGAAGATTAGCTGAAAACATGTTCCTGCTGGGTTTGGGCATAAAGATTTACATTTTTGTAGAAATTGTGACACTCCTTAACAAAATGTCATGCAATTCCATGCTTTCTGTTGAGTTAAAGATTTTTCCACTGGCTGTGAGCAAAGATGACACATTCCTGCGTAAACTGTAACAGTATATCCACAGCAAATCAGAGCTCAGTACTGTTTTTATGAAGCTTCCCAAGATAGTTATTTTAAAACTAGCTAACATATATCAGTCATCAACAATGACACTGAGTATAAACATAAACCTCAGAAGCAAGGACAAGAAGTTTGGTACGTACCATGGGTGTAAGCAAGAGAATCTAGGCAGCATCAGCACTGCATTTGCGATATGATTTATTTTCCTGTTAGCTAAATAAGAAATCTGTCTGAAAGTCTGCCTCTCCGCTTACAAATATGGGGCTAGAAAACCATGCAAAATGCACGATCTTCTTGTGTCCAGAGGTCTCATATAAAAAGTAGGAAGATTGTTTTAATGTTTAAAATCTCTATGTTGCTGATGTCAACTATATAGCTATTCTGCTCTCTTGCAAGATTTTGTATATTGTTGCCAGATTATTTTTAAAGACCACTATTTAGTGATGGAAGTTTTGGTTCTGTAGGATGGAAAAATGAGGTTTTGAAATACTTGAGACTGCTTGAAATGTGTTGGTGATATGAAAACAACATCTTTTAAACCACTGTTTTGATTAAGGGCAAATATAGCCTTCATTTCTGCAGTCCAAACCTTGCAGAATGTTATGAAAAACTGGGTATTGAAACTGAAATGAAGAACAAACAAGCAGTAGAAATGGTGAAATGGAATCTGCACTTACAGAATGTGCATTTTTATTAATCTAAAGTAAGATATATTTTTTTTTCAATAAATATAATTTCAACACAGGTACTTTCCTAATTATGAAGGCTTAAATAAAATGGAATGGCTGCGTAGTAGTTTTTGATATAGTCATAGCATAACATGCCACAGCCTTGCGCAGAGAACAATTATAGTCCTTCAGAAACATTATATTATGAAGTACGATATAGTGGACATGGTGTCTTTAAATATGTGTACTGCTATGGTAATGGAAGTGTTAGAATTCTCTGGAAATTTCAGCAAAATAATATTCATTTTTCATTTTCTCTTGAAGGTCCTTTATATAAACCTGTGTCTTCATAAGCCAGAGTGGGTGTCAAGGAATCTGAGTTTATATAACTGCACAGTGGAATTTTTTGGAGTAAGTCAGGCCTTTTTTATTCAAATGTTGCATGTTGAGGGAGGAAACCTAATTTTGGAATACATGGGTTTTGGATAAGAGTTTTGAGGTTGTACTATATAGTGATCAACAAATTTGCAGAATATGCTCCTGTTGCTCATGAAAGATTTAACAGTTGGTATTGAAATACAGTATCGATTAAATAAAAAAAAAAGCATTCAAGAGCTGTCTTTTTAAAATTCTGTTGTTTAGACTAAAAGTTAATTTCTCAAGGGAATGGTAAAACTGGGAAGCTCAATGTTGAGTGTTTGAGGATGTGGAGCACCTTAGAATGAAACATAGTACTATTTGATTTGCATTAAAGTGTCTTTGTGTACAAACTTTGTGACTCTTGGCCCTTTTTGCAGGAAACCAAATTTCTTCATTGACACTGTCATCCTATTTTACAGTAGACTTGAATAATCAAGAGACTGAAAATTGATGAGCTGTTTAAACTGCACTGGAGTTAAAGACACAAGTAGTTGAAATGGGGAAGAGGAAAGAAGACTCAAAAGGCAGGGAGAGAGAGACATAAGGTATTGGTCATTGCATTGGAACACTAGAAAACTTCTTAGGGTTGAACTGAAATCTAGGCAAAAGGACTCATAGTCCACAAAAAATACTAGAAGTTACAGTGCATTGCAGTCTCCAGTGCATTGGCCCATCTAAACTTTGCAGGTCGGCATTAGTGTCAAAAACTTTGCATGCTGTTAATTTGGTAGCACCTAGCACTGGTGGCTTCTGTGTGAATATAGGACATAATCCGAATCCTCTTTCCTACTAACATCTGAAGTAGTTTCCCCAAATAAACTGGATGTTTTTTGCAGAGGAGGAGAATCATACAAAGGGCTTCTGAACAGAAGTAATGGCTGCTGCTTCACAGGTTTGTTCAAGGCAACTATCCATCTCCTAATTCCCCCATCTGCCTTGGGGA